ATGATCAAAAAATAGTCCCAGACTATTTTTTACTATTTTTGATCATTCCTCCTGTAGAGGGACAGGCCCGACGTAATCACAGACCCCCATTGCGGTCTTGGGTCACGTCGGGACGTTTTTCACGACATCTGCTCGGCCTCCGGGGTTCCTTCTACCGGCCCTCGGGGCCGTCCGAGAACGGTTCGGGGTGGGAAAAGCACGGTCCCGGGGGATGGGTCTAGACCTCTGGGGGTCGACGTCGTGATCTCGCCTCCGCCTGCGCCACCGCTTGGCCTCCCTCTTCAGTCACCTCCCCTTGGAGGAAGGTCCTACGATCGTCGAATCTGACGTGCGAAGCGATGCGTGTCCCTGGGTGCGCAACAGATGAAGGTGAATCTGCTGCGAGGGGCGGAAGGACTTGACAATGAAACGGTTTCCTAAGCAGCGTGCCGAGGTGAGGGGATGACATGTATTCTTCGACCACGGGCTGATTCACCGACCTCTCGCCATGAAGCAACCGCCCTGACATCCTAAAAGCACGACGGAAGGTTTTTACACATGTTCGGCCCCTGAAAGCCCTCGTCAGGCCCCGGGACAATCAAAAACGACTCAGGATGAAAAGACGGTCCGAGGGAACGGGCCAACACCTCTGGGGAGCCGCGTTGCGACAAGCCGCGACAGAAGATGTCTGGGAACGGGCCCTGCGGGAAACGGGTCCTGAGGTTTTCGCCGCTTGGCCTTCCTCGGGACCCGGGACTGCCTGAGAACGGTTCCGGAAGAAGAGCTGGTCCTGGGGAGGGTCGCCAGTCCATGACCCGTTTCCCTCAGGCCCCGCGTCATGCCAATCCTGGCCTCCGCCGACTCCGCCTCCTCGCTACGGTCAGGGGCTCTGGCTTGGCGTATCGTAGTGTGACGGCCCCAGCGACACGCTGGGCTTTGCGAGTGCGTGTCGCCCCGCTCGGCGGGGCGGAAGGTCGGGGAAGGCTCGGGGCGTTGACGCTTGGGGACTGGGTCATGGATAGCGCATCGCGCCGAGGCGTGGTGGGCCACAGCCAACGGCGCGACACGCCACGCAAACGTTCCCGACAGTACTCGCTGTGAGAGCTATTCTCCGCTCTCCCCCTTGCAGCGTTCGGCACTTGGCTCGCCCCTCCAGCGTGCTGCTTCCACGCGCAAGAACTCGTGAGTTGCTGCTGTATCCTCAACGTTTCCCCGGTTAGGCTCTGCCTTTGGGCCTCGCGTTGTTGAAGAGCTGGAGGGTGTGATGCGCGGCCGTCGCCAGGTTCCCCGGGGGTCCATGGTCTTGTTTCTTTTACGAGGGGGGTGCTCCAGGGTTCCTTGGTCTTGTTCTTGGTTCCTTGGTTCCTTGCTGCCTCGCGGCGCCATGCCATGCAATGCCAAGTTCAAGCAATGCCAAGCAATGCCAAACAAATCCAAGTATTGCGAGGGATTGCCAAGAACATCAGCCAAGCAATGCCACGTAATGCTACGCACTGCGCCCATGCAATTCGGAGCTTTCTCCTAATCCCACCAGCCACGTGGGCCTAGGTGGTCGAACGATGTCCTCCTTTGCTCTTCCAACAACCCTCTTCCTGTCGGGGAGGCGAACCCTCTCCTTCCCCTCCTCGAGGTTTGTTCGGGGGGGGGGGCGCGGTGAGTCGGAGGGTCTTTTTCCGCTCAAGATGGCTCCAGGATGGCCCCCAATGCGGCTCGAGACAACCGAAGATGGTTCAAGATAGCTTTCGACATACCTTCAAAAGGCCAAACGTTTCCAATTGCTCTCGAAGACCCCTAAGGACCTCCCCAAGAGGCCAACATCATAAAAAACACAAAAAAAAACGCTTCATCGCTTTTTCGCCTTGGAGGCCGTACCGCCTTTTCGCTTACGATGCGCTTTTGAAGCCTCAAGATTGCCCTAAGATGGCCCAGGGAGCCCCAAGAGGGGCCCAAGAGGCTCCCAAAATGGCCCCAAGAGCGCCCAAGATCGGCCCAAGACCGCGATTTTGCTGTTCCGGGGGGGGGGGGGGGCATCGAGGACTGACAACCCCCCACCCTTTGATAGATAACCTCCAAGATGGCCTAAAGAGGCCCTCCAGGGCTCCCAAGAGGGCCCCAAGACAGACCCAAGAGCGCCCCAAGAGCGTCCCTCGAGGGCCCCAGGAGGCGGTTTGCCTCATCCTTCTCCGCCTCCTCCTCCTCCGCCTCCTCTATTCCTTCCCCATTCCTTTTCCTTATAAATAACTTCGCCCTGTCGCACCTCGAGGACAATTTTTAGGGCGGGCCAGGCGTTTCGCCAGAGACTTCCTCACCATTTATGACTCTGAAGCTTAAACTATTGGCAGCAGCTTCACACATGGAGGGCGGGTGGTTTTCAAAATGTGGCTCTCGCCTTAGCGCCGCGCACATTCGTTTTTCAAAGTTGCAAGAATTTCGCGGATTGAGGGCGGGTGGTTTTCAAAATGTCACTCTCGCCTTAGCGCCGCCCATATTCGTTTTTTGGATATTTGCCAGCGTTTCGCAAAGGGAGGGCGGGAGGTTTTCAAAAAATGGCTCTCGCCTTAGCGCCGCGCGCATTCGCTTCCAAACTTTGCAAGAGTTTCACGGATTGAGGGCGGGTCGTTTTCAACAAGTGGCTCTCGCCTTAGCGCCGCGCACGTTCGCTTTCAACATTTGCAAGGAGTTTCAAGGATTGAGGGGGGGCCGTTTTCAAAATGTGGCTCTCGCCATAGCGCCGCGCACATTCGTTTTCAAAGTTTGCAAGGATTTCGCGGATTCCCACGATCAACGTACCAGAAACTGTGTCTTGGAAGGATTCAGGGTTATGCTGGCGCAGCAATTCCGTTGATTCGCGGTGTTGAGATACCAAAATTGGCGTTCTGGCACGTTTCCGGATCGTCAAGACGCAGCAGTCCGGTTGATCCATGGCGTTCAAATCCCGAGAGCTATGTTTTGGTATGCTTCAGGATCTTCAAGCGGTTGTCTTCCAACGAGGCAGTTCCCTCAATAGAAATGAACCGTTGTAGGGACCTGAAGTCGGAGCTTGGAAAGAGGGTTACAGTCGGGCCGCTGAATAAGGAACACTTGCTTTTCAAAAAAGGCTCGTGAAGAATTGGGGTGGCGCCGGGCTCATTCAATCGGAAATGTATCGGTCATTCGGCATGTCACCCCCGATGCAGCGCTGGCAACAGCTTCAAATTCCTATCTTGCTTGCGTCCAGAGAAACTACGGACCCGTTGCAGCGCGGGCCGCATTGCCATAATGTTCGTTGACAGAGCGTGCTCAAACTCAAACGTTCGAAATGGGGTTCCCGCAGCAGCGAAGGCCACATTGTGGACCCCCTTCTTGCTCCCGTCCATCGGAATGCCCCAGCGCGGGCAGCAATTGCTTACGCATCCGGGATCCGGTTCATTCCTGGTCGTTGCCCTCCCACTCTTTGCCTCTCCATTGCCCCCTTCTAGTTGCTGCTGCTGCTGCTGCTCCTCCTCCTCCTCCTCTTCCTCCTGATCCTCCTGCTCCATCTTCACTGTGCAGAACAAAAGCCCGCCCCCACCAGCTAGCCTGGACAAACGTTTGCGGCTACCATTTCAGGATCAAGATCTTCTAAGGTACCCCGCTCGGTAAGGATAGAAAATGGTTCAGCGCCGCAATGAGTAGGGATAGGTGGCAGGGGTCTGATTTCAGAAGTGGCACGAGTGCCCCAAGCTTGCCCCTCTCCCCTCTCGGCTACATGCCAGGGCGACACCATGAGCAAGAAGGGGGACCTTTGGCGCGCGGGTTTCGAGGGCCGCGGGGGGCCAAGTCCGAGCGCGCCAGCCAGCACTGCGGGGGAGACCTGTGGGACAGCACCACAGGTCACCCTGGCGAAGAGCCACCCTTACGCGCAGCCGACCTCTCCCCTCTCCCTCTCCTCCTCCCCGCTCTCACCGAGGGCCCCACCGCGCAAGCCCGCGCTGGGGCGGGGCGACCCCCTCCAGCGCGCCGTCGGACGCGGGGTCCTCGGCATCCACGATCACCACCGACGCGCGACGGCCCGCGCCGCGCCGATGCGCTGGCGACCTGCGCGGCGACCCTTGCAACGCTGGTCCATCCGCTGGTCGAGGGGGCGCCGAAGGCGCTGGCGGACCAACGCCAGCGCTGGCTGCGTCGTCAACGCTGGCGCTAGCGGCGGGGCTCGCTGCCTGGGCTCCACCGCCCATAGCACTGGCGGCGTCCGCCGGCGGCGAGGGCCGCAGGCGGCGCAGCTGGCGCTGGGCGCCGCTGCTGGCGCTGCTGCTGGCGGGCCACAGGCCCTCGCCGCCCGCGCCGCCGCCTGAAATCGGCGAGGGCGCGGCCGTCACTGGCGCGGCCGGCGGGGGCGCCCGCGCCGCCGAGGTGACCGCCGGTGCCTGGGGCGAGGTCCACGGTGCAGGCGCGGCTGAACACTGAGCGGAGATGGGCGCGACAACCACTGGCGCGGTCGACGGCTGCTGCGTCGCCAACGCGGCCGGCGCCGCCGCCGCGGCTGGCGCGGGCGCGCGCGCCGCCGGCGCGATCGCCAGCACCTGTGGAGACGCCCGCGGCGCGGGCGCGGCTGAACACGGAGCCACTGGGGCCGCCCACGCCCCGAGGGCACAGGGGCCGAGGGGCGTCGGAACCTCCGCGCCGGCGGGCGCTGCAGGGCCGAAGGCTGGCGGCAGAAGCCGTGGGCGTCTCTTCGGCGGGCTGTCGCTGCGGCTCGCGCCAGGGCGGCCCGCGTGCGAGACGGTGAGGTCGTACGCCGGACGCGCCTCCGCAGCCGGGCCCGCGGAGCCGGCGGCACCTCCGAGGAGGCCGACCCCCCAGGAGCTCCACGAGCCCCCTGCTTCGCGGGGCCCCGCGGCGGCACCTCGCACGAGGCCGGCCCAGGCGTCTCCGCGAGGCGCCGGCGCCGCCGCGGCCCCGAACGCCTCCGCGAACTCCACCGAGTCGAGGTCGGCGGCGATGCTGTCGAGGAGGTCGGCGGGGCTCAGAGCCGGCCGCGCGGAGCTTCCCGCCGCACCGTCCTCGCGACCGGCCGTCGTCGTCGTCGTCGTGAGCAGACACACGCGCGCACACCCACGGGCAAGTGAAATGGACCACCTGTCGATGAACCTCGAGACCCTGGGATCATATGGCGTCGCATCTGTTCATACATGGGCGAATTCGCTGTATTTCGGGCTCCCAGACCCTCATGGACAGAAAGGGGCTCGAAAAAGGCAGCAGATCGAAAAAGGCAGCAGAAGGATAGGGTCCAGGGCTCCGGACGAGTATATTTTGCATTTTATCGCCACGTCGAATCAGGGAATCGCGCAAGCGTGTGCTTCTCCATGGAAGGCCTCCAATGCGACGCAAGCGGCGTGACGAGGGCCGACACAGGCCAGGCGCAGCTGAGCGCGGTAGAGGCACACCGGACTGACACGCGACACACGACACTCGTCCTGAGGAACATCGGACCTTGCGGGCCCGAGCGAAGGGCACAGCCTAAGGATTCTGGTGGCGGCGGCGGTAGTTAGGGGGGCACATGCGAACCCCACCCCTACCCCCCACGATTTCTGAGGGGAGGGTGATGTTCACTTCGCTCGGGAGCTCCCGAGCGAAGTGAACATCACCCTCCCCCTCAGAAATCGTGGGGGGTAGGGGTGGGGTTCGCATGCGCTGACGCCTCAGCGTGCGCGCTTGGCGGCCTGGCTAAGAAAAAGGTTCGCATGCGGCCCCCCAACAGTTCGAAGGTCGGGGGCGCGGCAGCTGCAGCCGCACCGACGCCACGGGGAGAGCTGCACTGACGCGCTCCTCGCGTCGCGCCGCGCGCGTGCGGCGCAGCGGTGCGCGGAGGCTCCTGGGGCCCTGGCCCCGCTCCAGGCGCAGTGTGGGCTTCCCCTTCGGGGGCGGCTGAGAAGGGGGCGTCCGAGAGGGGGAGTGCAACTCATGACCGGCGGCGTGTGCGCGGCCAAACGGGGGGGCCAGGGACGTAATGAGATAAGAAGAGGCGCCACGAGATCTTGGAAAGTATCATGGCCCACGCCATGATATCCACCCCCCCTCCTGGTCATCACCCCCCTCTTTGCCGCCCCCGCCCCCTGCTGCTGCGCCCCTCTGCCCCCTCCTCTTCCTCCGGGCGGGCGACGGGCGGGTTGTCCTGTCTTGGTCTCCTGGTTATGGTGCGCTGCTGGTGGTTACGCATTGCTCGTCTGTGTTATGATCGCGTGCCGACTAGTTTCCCGCTGCTGTCCCGATTGGTATCCTGACGTGCTTACGATGAACTCCGATCACCCTACATTCGCCCTGGGTCTTTGTTTTGCACTCCTTAACTCGGTGACAGAGACCCTAAGGCCCTAAGACAACTAGCAACTTTATTGTTGCATTGTTTAACTCAGTCCTTCTCGGCGTTTCAGAGCGGTTGCTTAACACCGCCGTCTACGACGTCCTCAACTTCTTCTGCTTGCGTCTAGCCCTCCGCACATGATTATCATTTGGAAAGTGCCTTTGCTCTTCTCCGGCTGCTGCTGCTGGCTGGTCGCGGGGCCTCCGGGCATGCTTCGCGCGTGTTCGACTCGTGTCTGGGCGTGTTTCTTGCGCTATTTGATCTGCGCGCGGAGCGGGAGTAACGGGACGCAGCAGGAACTGGAGAGCAGGAGCGAAGACGGCAGGGAAGGCAAGGAGCAAGTCTCGACAAGAAGGCAAACAAAAACGCTAAACAAATGATCCACAGCGAAAAGCTAACATACCTGCCTGAAAAGCGCTAGCAAGCTGTAGAGTTGCGGAACGTTTAGCAGATCTAGCCCTTCAAGAGCGCAATATACTAAACTGTCAAGAAACACCGTGCGCGCGACTGGAGGTTTCCCAACTTAACACGGATGGAGCTCCTGTGGCGTCCCGATGTCATTGTGATGCCTCCCCGAGAGTGATCCGACTGCAGATTGATAGGATGTCGTCTTCTACTACCTGGGCAACGACCTGTTATCGTTAAAACAGATTCAGGATGCTTGTGCGTGGCTCACGGCTGACGTATCTGAAATCTCTGTCAGCTTAAAGTTTCAGGTTCGCATTCGCTGTAGCTAGAACCTCATGTTCAATGTTCATTTTGACAGTGTAGATCTAGGTGGCACTGTAAACAAACCACCTACACTACGAATGATAGATGAATGAAACAACCAAAGCATACATTAATGTCGAGTGACCTGCCCCGTTTGGATCAATGACACACTACCCACCATCTGGTTTAACCAAATGGTTACACATCAATGGGGATCCGTCGCAAACAGCCAAACGCAATCAACAATCAGCATGAACCAACGGAATGCCAGTCGGCCCAGCGCGCGGCAAACCGCAAAACCTGTTACCCGAGACACCGGAACGCCGCCCTGCTGACGCACCGTGCGCTCCAGGCATCCCCGAACCACCACCTCAAACCTCCCTCCTCCTTGGGAGGCCGCTAGACGGGGCGGGAGCAGTTGGGGCTGGAGGATCGCACCGCCTCGCCGATGCTTCGGCGACGTCGGGATGGAGAGAACCCGGCCCTGGAACGCGCCGCAGCGTCGATGCTTCGACGATGCGGCGCGGTCCTCCGATCCCGTCTCCTTGCTCCCCACGCGGCGTGGAGGCAACTGGTCCTGGAGGAAGCCAAGACCCCCGACGTCCTGAATCTTTCGCAACTACGGGGCCCAAACATATATATATATATATATATATATATATATATATATACCACCACCACCACCTCCCTCACCCCCTCCCTCCCCCAGGAAAGAGGAAAGGAATAGGAGGATTGAGGAGAAAGGAGGAATAGACGTGGTGGTGGTGTATATTTTTGGGGCCCGCAACAGCGTCGACCCCCAGAGGTCGGTCTGGACCCTTTTCCCCGGGACCGGTCCTACAGGGAACGCCGCGGGGCCTGGGACCCGTTCCCCCAGGGCCTCCCCCTCTCCTCTTCCTCCTCTTCCTCCTCCTCCTCTTCCTCCTCCTCCTCCTCCTCCTCCTCCTCCTCCTCGTCCTCCTCGACCTCCTCGTCCTCCTCGTCCTCCTCGGGAACTTCACCGATGGTCCCATTGGGACCGCCCGAATGCGTCAGCCACCATCCAGTACAGCGTTTCGTGGCCCCATAGGGAGCTCCACAGGAAGACCCCAATGGCACCGCCCGCATGAGTCGTCCCCCACCAAGTACCCCACTTCGCGGCCCCATTGAGTGGGAGTTCCACCAAGCCCCAGTGGCACCGCCCGCATGCGTCCCCCCCACACAGTACAGCGTTTCGCGGCCCCATAGGGAGCTCCAGTGGTCCGCCCGCATGCGACCCCCCACCCAGAGCAGCGTTTCGTGGGCCCATAGGAAGCTCTACCGAGGGCCCCAGTGGCACCTCCTCCTCCTGCTCTTCCTCCTTCTCCTCCTCCTCCTCCTCTACAATTGCACCATAAGAAAACTACTCTGCTCTCTCCCCTGATGACGCCCAGAAAATGTCCGGCCCCCCTCCGCGCACTGTTTTTTACACGCAGGATTCATGGGATTTGGGTGATCGCGTGTTTTTGTTTGTTTCGTGTTGTCAGGATGTTGCTCTCGCTGAAGCGCTGGCCTTATTTCGGGCTTCCGCTCGTTCCGAATCGTGCTCCCGCTGCAACGCTGGCCTCATTTCCGCGCTTCCGCTGGTTCCGAATCGTGCTCCCGCTGCAACGCTGGTCTCATTCTGCGCTTCCGCTCGTTCCGAATCGTGCTCCCCCTGCAGCGCGGGCGTCATTACTCCCAGTGCCATGCCACGGCATGCAATGCAATGTGGTGTTCCGCTGTGCGATGCCACGCCCAAAATTCTAGAAAATGCCCCCCCCAAAAAAAAACATCGGAAGTGATTACACATTCGGCGTCGATTCGTCAATGCATTGGGCCGCAGAAGGCCCCCCCATTACGTTGTAGCGTCGCCGTTTTCAGGAAGTATCAACCGGGAACCCCGTTTCTGCTTTGAGAAGGCGATGTTGAAGTCAGAGCCAGCGGGTGCTCTCCATCAGCCCCGCCTTGTGTGGAGCTTCTCGGGGAGCCCAAGGCGCTAGACAGTGAGCCACGACTCCAGACCGTCCCAGACCTCTCGATATGCCATGACATGCTGTGCGGTGCTGTGTTCTGTGCCGCTGTGCGATGCTTTTCTTCGCGTTGCAATGCTCTGTGATGCTGCAATTCTTCAGAGCGCAACGCCACGCCATGTCATGGCATTCAACGCCTTGCCGTGCAAACGTCCTGCTATGCCGTGCTCTACGATGCACCGCGTACCCTCTAGCGCTCATTGACCTGCTCGACACCCGACTGTGCGACTAGAGAGGAGATCTACGCCAGTGTAAAGGATGCGCGGGAGGTGTAGGACGTCGGATAAGACGCGAGCGCACCTAGCTTGTCCTCCTTCCCCTTCTCCTCCTCCTCCTCCTCCTCCTCCTCTTCCTCCTCCTCCTCCTCCTTCGATTCTTCCTCCATTATCTCCTTCGTGGGGTCTGACGTCTTACCCGTTTTTCATACACTGCCCGCTATTCCCCCGACACCCGATGTCTCGCCTTTGTGCAGGCGGGAGCCCTGGAAGTCCCTGCCCTCCCCGCTCGGTCCGGCGCCTCCTCCCGAAACGTCTTCTGGCGGCCCCGGGGGCGGCCGGGCGCCCCTGCAGGAGCCCGAGAGCTCTGGGAAACACCGCCGCCTCGATTTCATCTTGAGACGTCGGACGTCTGCTGAGAGGGGGCCTTTTGGGATCGGCGATGCACCGCTGATAGGTCTGCGATGTGCCCTCGACGAGCGGAACCGCGCGCTCTTGGGCGCGGTGGGCTATCAGGCCCCACTATCGGCGACAAGCGGGCTGGTGGGGTCGATACGCCCTCCCCTGAGCCGACAGCCAACCCGAAGAATGAGTAGAAGAAGCATGCACGTAATTTGTTGGCGCTCCGAGCGGATTTCTTGGATCTGCGCTGGACCCCCCCCTGGCGCGCGGAGCGCGCCAGGGGCGGCGCCAGAAGCGCCGCCTGGGGGCCCAGCGTGGATCCAAGAAATCCGCGCGGAGCGCCA